AAGAGAATATCTTCTCTAGAATATTTTCATCAAAATCATTTTTTCCACATAAAATAATTCAAAATCTTGGCAGATTTGTACTCAAATAATAAATAAATCCATTCATAACTAGTTTTTGGAAGAATTTTCTTCTTCTTCTTCAGTAATCATACGTTTCTTCCAAATTATTTCAAGATTCTAATGAGTCTTTTATTATCAAATATCATCCTTTAGTTTGTGGACTTGATGATGAAAAAATACTTTTAACACAATCCTACAAGGATGCTTTCGCTTAAGGAAATTTTCTCTTTTTTTATGGGATTCTCTATTCCCTTCTATAATTGAATTTTTACAATTGATTGTAACAAAATGAATCATTGTCTTAAGAGCTCATAGCAAATATTTGGAATCTAATTTCTCAAGGGCAACAAACTCAAATTTTTTTAGATTTTCTATAATAGCTACAAAAATTTCAAAGTTATTTGTATAATATATAAACTTGAATAATCATGAAAGTATATTGAGAATAATAGGAGATAAAGACAAAAATCTTACCTCAAAGTCTTATCTCAATAATCTTACCTTAAAAATATCATTACTTCAAATTGATCACAAGGACAAGTTGCATAGAGCCAAGTCGTAATGATAACTTAATATAAAATAAGTGATACATGAGTATGATGAAGTAAGAATATGTATAAAGATAAGGTAAGATAATGAGGTAAGAAAAGAATACAAAGTATGGCAAATGAGAATGCTTTAGAAGTGTGCTTTCTATTCTTCCATTTCTATCTCTCTCTGTTTCTTCTTCATACAATGCCAACCAATATATAAGCTAAAGGAGAATGAATATTACATAAATTCAGTGCATGAACTTAACTAGATTCATGAATGGAACTTAATTACAATATTGAATAAAGTTGTCGGTTCTATGAATCTAATGGTTCCATGAATATAGTAGTTCCATGAATGCGATGATTCCATGAATGTAGTAGTTCCATGAATGCAGTGATTCAATGAATGTAGTTTAATGAAGATATAAACGAAGTTAAGTGAATATGGAAGATGGGAGATGCTAGGTGGGATGCATAAGGTGAAACAACCATTCATTTGTATAATTCATAATATTTTATTTTTTTTAATTTAATTATTTATTCAAATAAGAGAAAGGGAGGGAAGGAGTAATTACTTTCCCTTCCCCTCCATTTTCCTCAACCCAAATATAGGGTTAGGATTATTACCTTTTCAATTAGCAATGAACCCATGGCATCGTATGGCTACACTCATCTGTGAGGTTGTCACCTGTGTCTTTCATGTAGGGGTTGACACAACAGTGTCAACACCCCAAATTCTAGACACAAATACATGTCAATGCCTATTGGGAAATTTTAATAAAATACAAGATGCTGATAGATGTACCTACTGATTCAACATCTAGCGAGACACATCATATAAAAAATATAAAATATATTTAGGCCAATTTAAGGATATAAGGTGAATACACTTAATTGTACTTCCATTCATCCAATTATTCCTTATTTGTAGTCCCAAACAAAATCCAACAAGACCCCCCAATATTATTCCACTTTGAAAAAAACTTCTCTATAGTTAATGAAAACTTTGAAGCCCAAGGTGAAAACTTTGCAAAAAAAAAAAAAAAAAACTGTTTACTAATACCCAAGGTGGAAACATCTTGCTTAAGAGCTTTGAAGCCCTAAAGAGCCATAACTTTTTCCACTAAAAACAAGAACATAAGTAGTTGCTTTTACCTAAAGAAGAATTTACTAATACCCATGTGAAACTCATAGGCATTCTTCTGCATCATCCATGGATTTGAGAAACAACAAGATAAGGAAGGTGCCTCAAGTAGGATCGCTTTTGAACTAAGGGCCCACAACATTTTTAGGAAACCCAAGCCTTTATAGATTTCCATTAGAAGTTAAATGCCCAAAAACTCAAAACCCAAGAATAGCTATAAAATTAGAAAACCCACAAAACTCAAGAGCCTCAACCCTAGCCTTTTTCGCATAGGTGAAGACAGAATGGAGGCAAAAACATGGTCAGTGGCAATTTTATTAATTTGTGGCATATTACTAGTGATCAACACCGTTTCAATCTTGGTGTGGCTGCTTTGAAGAAAATGGAGGTCAGAGGAGTGAAATCGACAAGATTTCATCAAATTGGGATGGGTGAATGTGGAATCTATAGAATTTGGAAGGATCAATTGGGTTCCAGACAATAGCCACGAGCAAGGAATTTCAAAGGACCAAATGGATGCCGAACAATAGTCCCAAATAAGCAAGGGATAAGTCTCTAACATTCAACAAATCCTATTAAATCATATTTTATCCACTGAACTGAATGTGTGCAACTAAGTATGTTGGTTAAGGGTGTAAATATATCATTTCCCTAAAATATAACGTTAATCAAATTAAATTGGGGTTAAGGGTAAATCTATAATTTTATCATTTAGTCTGGATATTTTAGCTTATTATTATTCAATATAAATTTTAGGTTATTGATTGTTTGTTTGTCCTAATTTTAGGATCTAATCTCATAATTAGCAACTATTCTTATTTGAGATAAGTGAATGTACGATTAAACCCCTAATTTTAACATTATAATTTTTGAAGCATGATTCCTTCTATTTTTAAGATAGTGGCGGGATACACCCCCTTTTTTATTTAAATATCATGATTATGTTGGTTGAATAGTCTAAGAGGAGGTGAATTAGAATCTGCAAAATTTTTTTCCTTTTTGCAATAATAAGATGAAAATAAATGAGAGAAATGGAGAAAAGCTTACACAAAGATTTTATAGAGATTTGGTCCAATCACTTGGCACCAAATTCTCTACCTTAGCTTTACTCACTATAGATTTCCTACACACTCTCCAGTAGTACTCAAGAGTAGCTTCAATAAGTTACCCAATCCTTTTACAAGAAAGTGGGTTTCTCACAATCTCGTCCCTTTCAATCTATCCCAACAATCCTCACTACACAATCACTCATAGAGTAAGACTAAAGAATTAAAAGACAAGATCACTCAATGGTAAAATATGCCAAGTGAAAATACAAGAAATTAAATGTTTTCTCGAGTAAGCTCAAGTGGGCTGTTGAAAATCTTCAATAAAGTGTCTAATAAATGTGTTCACCAACCCTATTTATCTTCCTTAAGGTTAAAATAGCCATTTAAGAATTTTGGGTAACATTAAATGCTTTACAAATTCATCAAATCTGAAAAACTAATCGTTACTATACAAGAGTCAAATATGGAGTCTTAGAGCTAAATCTTTAAAGCTTAGATTCGATTCTTCAAGTTGAGAGTTGATATTTTAGAAATTCTAGGACTTAGACTAATTTGCATCATGTAGTCCAGGAATTGAATCTTAGATAGGAGAGTCAAATTTCAACCTTCAAGAGTCAAATCTTCAAATGAAGATTTGGTCTTGCCCTGCACGCAAAGGTTCTGAACTCTCCAAAATCTGGAGTTGAATCGTGCCCCTTCAAGAGTCAAATATAGCAAGTTGAAGAGTCAAATTTACTTTCGAAGGGTTAACTCTTCCTCTAGTTGAACTTTTACTCCATTTTCAGCTTTAGAGTTGAAACTCTAATACAAGAATCAAATCTTCTTGCGACAAGAGTCGAATATAGAGTTATATATTCGACTCTCCATGTTGATTCTACAGTTTTTTAGATTTTTCTTTGTTACATTTTAAAGTTTTTAAATTGCACACTTGAACTCAAATTCATTAAATAACTTGAGAGGTTTTGTTATCATCAAAATCACTTGGAGTTCAACAGATTAAATCTTTTTTTAATTTTAGATGGATTTTATTTGTTTAAGCAATGCCAATTAATGGAAATTTCTTGACATATGCTACTTGATGCATGGGATTCTTGTTTTCTTGAAATAAGCATGTTTACTTGATATATAGTTGTTAGCCTATTTTAGTCTCTAATATAGTCATGTTATACTTGTGCCCTCTAGTGGGAGGTTTATAAAAGCTGACACATGTCAACATGTTATTTGTAGAACCAATTCACTATTGTTATACATTACCCTACTAGTGTGATTATACACTAGTAATCTTGTGCCAGTTAATGGGATATTTATAAGTGTTGGCCATGGCTTGTAGAGGAGACGTATATTTCATGGCTATACTTATACCCGTTTTACTTGATACCTGATTTATACTTGTTAAGAAGCTTAATTAAAAATAAAAAGGAGAATTGAATACTTATTGGAATTATATCTTACATTTTTTGTATCCACCATTTTAGGTAACGATGTTAGAGACCTTGGGGATTAGGGTGTGTGATGGTTTTATATTAGACTTGATTTGGACTTAGTTGAGGTTTAGATTAGTTTACAAACTTATTTGTTAGTATTAAAAAGTTGAAGGACCTAATTTTCAATTATTGCATAATTTGACTTAATAATATTTATTTAGATGTGATTTGATTTTTAATAATATAATATTTGAGATATCATTAGTCTTTAAATTATTTGTTTTGGCCTTGTATAATAAATTAACTTGTTCTAAGCTTTGTGCATTTGTGGATCCCAGTCACACGTATATGGCATCTATTCCACTTTACAGTCTAGAGCGTGATACTCACACTCAAGAGAAAAAGTATAATTGAGTTTGGACTTTAAAAGGCCAATTAGATACTTATTTGATATTTTATAAAAATTTTAAAAGGCTTATTAAGCATTTATTGAAGATTTTAAAAGTTAATTAAATATTTATTTAGAATTTATTGAAAATTTTAACAATTTTTATAATATAGTCAAATAAGATAAGTTGAACCTAACTTTAAAATATTTTTTATTTTTATTTAATTAAGGTCACATTAGGGAAAAGGTATAACTTCAAGGCATCCATTAAGATGCATGAAGCATGCCTCCTATAAGTCCTAAATTACTACTAATAAATATAAAACAAGATGTAAGGGTGGACCTTGGAGGAGAGGAAGGATCCGATGGTAGAAAATAAGTCCCGGTAGACCCCCTGGAATGGCTGAAGAATGTATCAAAGGGCAACATCACTAGTAAGCTGGAAGCAATAACCATGGAAGGGCTGCAGATTGTCAACGTCCATAAGGGACTCATCCGCTGTAATTTCATCGTAACAAGACTAGCTTCGGTAATCCTCAATTGCCCACCCTTTTTCTTCTTTTTTTTTGTTTTGTTATTCATTCAATCACTTTCCTGTTGAGTTTTAATTGGTGGTGGGTACCCTGCAGGATTCAGGTGGGAATTGGCACGTTGGAGCTATGACGAACTTAATTGACTGTGTAGGAAACGCTGCCATACACACCACCACAGTTGGCCATATCAACGTCACCCTTGATTGCACTATTTCAACTGCCAAGATTCAAGTCGGTATAGTATTCTTCAAATTGGTGAACATCTTTTTGGATACACATACAGTCTGGTAATAAAGTTGATTTTATATATGGCAGGATGAAGTGGAGATATAGAGGCAAAGGTTGCAGGGAATAGGGGAAGACTTACCTTAGTGGTGGTGGAAGTCAGAAACAAGAATAATCGGCAGCTTATTGCATCGGGCAAATAGTGGGCCAGTTTGATTAGTTTGACATCACTCATAAGCAACAGTAAGCTTTAAGATTTTCATCTTTAATAGAGCCAGGCTAGAAAAAAATATGTCACAAGAGACACGAGGCTCAAGATCTAGAGCTTTGGTATTGGCTCCAGAGCCATCACAAAGAGACTTCGCTTGTTTTCAAACATGAAATCTAAATCAAAAATAAAACATTGCAAGTAGAAAGAACAATGCCAATCATTCATCA